TTTTTTTCATATATTTTTTTCTTTGTTTCACAAATGGAAAATATTTCACATATATTTTTCATGATTCACAAGATTATACCCATTAACCAGAATTCAATCAATTTCAGCAAAATAAGTTAATTCTATTTACTTTAGTATTATCAAACAAACTCTATATTAGACTAAGTTTATTTTTCTTTTAAATCACATTATATGTGATCCGATAGAAATTAAATTTGAAATTAGCTAAATTACATACTGCCCGTGCATCGCACAGGCTTGAAAGCTAGTATTAATAGAAAAAAGATCAGGTGAGAAGTCCCCCTTAAAATGAAAGCTAGTATTAATAGAAAAAAGATCAGGTGAGAATTAAACTTATAGACTGAATATAAGAACTTATAACCAATAAATCATAACTTATAAAGCTCTCCATCATAATTACGGAAATGCCACCGCGTCAAAAAAAATTGAAGGTTTCTGGAGTAATTTTTGTGGTGGAATTTTCATAATTTTTTCGAGGGGACTATAAGTTATGATTTATTAGTTAAAAGTTCGTGTTTTTAGTCTATAAGTTAAACTTCACAGTTTTCGGCCTAAGGACACTTCTCACCAGATCCGCTCCCATATTAATAAAATCAATATTATTTAAAATATCATTTTTTAAAAATTATTACTCCATATAAAATAAAAAAGATCATTTTCGATTTAAAAAAAACCAAAACTTGGTTAGATTATTTGTGATGCCTTTATAACCACACAACTTTATAACTCAATTTTTCTTATTGATTTCACATTGTACCGTGAAGTTCATATTGTTTGGATTGTCTCAAAGTAAATGTCTAACCTCTTTTGACAAAATTATGTAAATAAATTATGTCATTTCATTTTATTCTAGTGAGATTACAATCTTAATCTTAAAGTTTTCTAACGCTGTATTAATAATAAGTTTAATCAAAACAAATAAAATGAAAAAGTAGCATAGCTAAAACATGGACATAATGAAAGTTAGTAAAACCCCAAAAGTGTACGAATTGATTTTTGTACCAAAAGTGTATTATTTCCTGCAAAACATGAACATAAAGCAAGTTAAAACCCCAAAAGTGTATGAATTGATTTTTGTAACAAGAGTAGTACAAGAGTACAACAAATAAGTATTATCTAAAATTACATGTAACAAGTATAGCTTGGTGCTTGGCTGCTTGCCCATAACCTAGCCTTCATCTTCTTCATCATGTGATCACAAGAGTTGAATGGAACCCTTTGCTTTAAATGACAATCTTTTATTGCTCTTGATAAAGACAAACTTGAAATAATTTTTCAGAAAAATTATATACACATGAAGCTAAACAAAACTTTTTTCTATGCCTAAAATTGTGTCTCCTTAGTATATGAAGTACAATTACAAAGGAAGACAACATGAACAGAATATAAGAGATTAATTAAAAATAAATCTGTTGTGATTTGTCTTAAATTAACTCAAAAATAACTTCCAAGACACCCATTATTACAATCATTCTCTCTATTGGCTTGTTAGCCATCACTTGCTCCTAATAAATGTTTATTTCTTAGAATCAGTAGAGAAATATTTACAAACAAAACAAGTACTATCAAAATCAAGGATGATGACCATACCACCTCGGAATAATATAAATAAAAGATCCAACCTCAAGACATAAACAATCTGTTTCAGCATTGAGAAATACTAATTAAAATTAAAACATGTTAACTAAATTTTATTACATTGTTATCAAATATTGATACCAGAATAGTAGAATACAATATTAGGAAAATCAAAACAACCACAATTGACTAGAGTCATCCAAAAACAATTACAAAGATAACAATTACTAGATTACCAACACTACTTCATACCGAAAAAAAATTATTTACATGCCATTAAGTATCACCCTTGCTTTTATGAATAAAATAGCACCCTAACTTTTTATAGAACTCATAACCTGTGGATACTGAACCATTTGTGGAAGTAATGGAATATTTGGATGCAAAAGAGGTGCACCATATGGATTGGTAGAGGGAACCCAATAATTGTATGACCGAGGACTATTAGCTTGTAACAGATGTGTCAAAGATAACAAAGAATATTGCTGCATAGTCCCAAGCAAACGTTCACTTGAAAGGCTTGATGACTGATCAATTAGTATTCCACTCTTTTGAAAAGTGCCGTTAATATTCAATTCTGCCTGCTGCATTTGTCACGCCCTAGACTGCATCCGGGCCACGTAGACAACCGCCGTACAACCCGATAAGAACAAAAACAGTTCATCCCGATTGAATTGTACAAGGCGTTCGATTGATTCTATTGCCAAACCGATTAGTAAACCCATACAATCAATATCAATATCATAATAAAACAAATGCGGAAATAATAATATGTTTGATACTTAGCCACACGTGGCAAACGATACACATTCTAACTGTTCTTTATCGTGACCTTGTTCAACTGACGGTAATCGATACACATTCTAAGTGTACCATCTTTCTTCTTTACAAAGAGTACCGGTGCTCCCCACGGTGAATGACTCGGCCTAATGAATCCGCTGTCCAGTAATTCTTCTAATTGGACCTTCAACTCTTGAAGTTCAGCCGGTGTCATCATCCGATATGGAGGAATCGAGATGGGTTTTGTACCGGGTTCTACTTCGATGGTGAACTCAATTTCTCGATCTGGTGGGAGTCCCGGGAGTTCTTCAGGGAAAACTTCTGGGTACTCACTCACCACTCTCACCTCAGTGAGACTCCTTCCCTTGCCTTCCTTGCCTATGACATAGGCCAAGTATGCTTGACACCCTTTCCTCATCATACGCCTTGCTCTTATGGCCGATATGATACAAGGATTGAATTTCCCTCTATCTCCCTTGAAGCATAGATGATTTCCTTATCCATCTTTTAGTTCTAACACCTTGGTGTAGCAATCTACCTTCGCATGGTGTTTTTCGAGCCAATCCATGCCAAGTATAGCATCAAACTCGAGCATATCTAACGGCACAAAGTCACCCGTTAGACAGTGCTCCCCTATCCCTACATTACATGAGGGATAGTAGTGTTTCCGCTCTACATCATCTCCCAATGGCGTAGAGACCAACAAAGGTTGCGTCATTGCTACCAAAGGCATGCCCAAACCCTTGGCAAACGATTCACTCACAAATGAACGTTGTGCTCCGGTATCGATGAGAATTCTCGCGTCCCTATCGTTGATCTTTTGTGTCCCTACATACATAAGTCGTGTAAGACACACTACTCAACATCCAGACTGAAAAGGACCGAACGAAAAATTTTCAGCCTAGGGATACCCTATACCCGGTCGGGTAAGGCCCTATACCCGGTCGGGTATTACTCGAGCCCTTAGGGAAGAGGCTTCCTGATTCCCTTGCCCAGTCGAGTACACGCCTCGAATTCGGACGAAATGTCAATACCCGGTCGGGTGTATTCCTATACCCGGTCGAGTACAAACTTCAACAAATCGCTTCCTATCCCCAACGCTCGATCGAGTACACACTTCGAAGCCAAAATTTTATACATACCCGATCGAGTATATAGCCATACCCGATCGAGTATTGCTCGAAGTGTCAAAAGCGGACGATCCTGCCACGCTTGTACGAATGGGTACACACTTCGAAGCCAAAATTTTATACATACCCGATCGAGTATATTGCCATACCCAATCGAGTATTGCTCAAAGTGTCAAAAACAAAAGATCCTGCCACGCTTGCCTGAACGAGTACACACTTCAAAACTGAAACATAGCCTATACCCGATCGAGTCTATAGGAGTACCCGATCGGGTCATGCATATATTCTGAAGGTTTTTCTCCAAGTAAATGAATAAAATGCATGTGCAACCAAGAGATTACCTACAATGGAGTCCGGGTTGGCCCGAGCATCTGCCTCGGTCATTGCATACACCCGTGCCTGGGTCCTCCCTTGGTTAACGGACGCGGCGTTGCTAGCCGTGGGTCCACCCCTTCCCGTGCCGACCTGGGATGGTCCAGCGCGTCCCCTACTAGCCGTAAGTCCTTCCATAACCCCCGATGGTCCCCCTCCATTCAACATTGGGCAAGAGGATTTGAGGTGGCTCATGCTACCGCATTTGTAACACCGGGGTGGTTCATTGCACTTCCCCGCATGGTTCTTGCCGCAATTTGCACACCTCGGTGACCACGTACTCCCTGGTTTGGCCCCTTGCCCTCCTGAGCCCTTATTCCTTTTCGCCGGTGGTGCCGGCGCCCTGAATGAATTGCCACCCCCGGCGTGATGCTTCTGATAGTGGTCTTGGGGTCCAGAGTTTCCCCATCTTCTCTTCTTCGCCTCCTCGGCGTCCCTCAACTTCCTCTCGTTCCATTGGGCTTCCCCAAGGAGCCCTTGATCAACGATCTGGCTAAATGTCATGTTATGGTGATAAGTAGCCCGGTCACGAATGTCCAACTGTAGAGCATCCCAAAAGTGATTGGCCATACGATTTTCATCCAAAGAGTATTCTGGGATGAACCGTGCCAAGTCACGGAACCTTTGTTCCAATTGCCTCACCGAGCAACCATCCTCCTGTTTCAGGTTTGTGTACTCTCTTCTTTTGAGATTAACTTCAAAAGTTGAGTAGTACTAATTATAAAACTCCACTTCGAATTTCTCCCAAGTGGCCTCACCGTGGAACTTCCCTTCCATGCCTTCCCACCACACTGCAGCTACCCCATAAAGTAGCCTGGTGGCAACCCTCAACTTCACGTCGAGTCCTTGCATATCCCTAGAAGCATCATTCAACTTCTTGATCCAGTCGGCGGCCTCAGATATGTCGCCCTTGCCATCAAATGATTTGCACCCCAAGGCCCTAGCCTCCTTGAGGTACTTGGAGATACGTACCATCGTGTCTCCTCCAAATGCTCGAGATGGAGCACTAGAAGAAGCTCCTCGGCTTCCTTGTCCCATGGCCTGCCTAGCCTGTCTAGCTTGGCACCGCTGTTCTCTCTTTGCCTTGTTCTCGAGGTACCATTCTAGTACCTCACTCATACGATCATAATGAGGATCGTCATCCTCATCTTCTTCATCAAAGTCCTCCCCGTTGTACGGGGTCTCCTCTTGCTCCGTGCTCGGAGCATATGTGAAATCGTCCGGTTCGGTGGCCCAAGACGGGTGCACAGAACCGACACGCGTGCTACTTGCCGTCGTCGTTGTAGAACGCCCACGACCCCTGCCCCGGCCTCCTCCTCGGCCTTGGCCCCGACCTCTACCCCTAGAGGTCCGTGATTCAGCCCGTGTATCGTGCCCGGTGGCCCCCGGTGCACGACCCGTCGGGTTCCTCCTAGTAATCCTGCGTCCACCCTCCATTTCTGAAAGAAATAAGGAATGAGTCATTAGACTAGTTTCAATGTCAATTGACGGATTAGTACAAAAGACACCACTTGGTCCAACATTATGGCCAACAAACTGTTAAGGGTACCGTCTTAACAATAAGAGGTCAATAACTTGGTTTCCAACAGTTCCTTAAGTACAAAACTTTTGCTCATGGTTTTATTCAAAACTTTTTGATGACAAGACTATTGAGAGGTTAATTATATAGTTTAGAAATCGATGGCTCTGATACCAATTAATTGTCACGCCCCAGACCGCATCCGGGCCACGTAGACAACCGCCGTACAACCCGATAAGAACAACAACAGTTCATCCCGATTGAATTGTACAAGGCGTCCGATTGATTCTATTGCCAAACCGATTAGTAAATCCATACAATCAACATCAATATCATAATCAAACAAATGCGGAAATAATAATATGTTTGATACTTAGCCACACATGGCAAACACGGGCACACAGGCCCCCAACTGTTTTAAGGAAAACATTGTTCGAAAATCCGTGAGCAGTTTATAAATTTGAAATAAGAATGGAAGCACGAACCACGTCTTCCTTCTTGATCAATCACCATAGGCAAAGGTGCAGGTAGTAGGACTCTAGCCTTAACCTGAAAAAATGTGAGGGCCCCCGGAGGGTTCAGTACTCCATAGAAGTACTAGTGACAAGCAGGCTATATGAAGAATAACTAATGTTTCAGACACGAGACCCAAAAATAGGGTGATATATATATATATATATATATATATATATATATATATATGACTCATCCACCCGATGATACATACTGTATATATATTTGTAAAATACTCAACCCGTAGGTTATTTCATTAAAAGAGTCTTTTAGAGATAAAGTTCTTACCTGACTTTTCTCACTCCTTTACCGGATGCCTAGATCACAAGCTATAGTCTACCTTCGATTCATACTACCGAGTGTTTTAGGATCATTTACCATCCAAGGCACTCAACCAAACCTGGAGTATTTAGGATCATTTACCGTCCAAGGGTACTCGACCCCACTTGGAGTATTCTGGATCATTTACCGTCTAAGGGTACTCGACCCCACCTGGAGTATTCTGGATCTATTACCGTCCAAGGGTACTCGGCCCCACCTGGAGTATTCTGGATCATTTACCGTCCCAGGGTACTCGACCCCACCTGGAATATTCTCTACCAAATCCTAACCTGGATATGGCTAACCTTTCATTCCCTTAAATATGGGCAATACCTAGCCCTATAGTCATATAAACATCCTTAGTAACCAACGTGGACGGGTCCCACCTGAACGACCCACGTTAACCTACTCAAAAACTGCCCGTTTTGAGTATAACCCAATACTAGATCGAGTACTCACCTATACTCGGTCGAGTACAGGAGACAGTAGCCCATAAGGCAAATTTTCAATGTATACTCGATCGAGTATCTACCCATACTCGATCGGGTATAGGAGACAGTAGCCTCCCGGGGCAAATCTTCAGAAAATTCCCGGTCGGGTACTTGTCAATACCCGGTCGGGTATTGCAGTTGACTTGGCGGTCAACGCCCGTTTGACCACCCAAACGGAGTCCAATTAACGTGAAATTTTACACACATGTACTTCTTGACGTCCTTAATCCAAAACTACCATTTTGGATCCCTGGAACATCGCACATAATAATTTATCACATTTTTAATCATCAAACGTAAATAACATGCTTTTCAACTATGTTTTATATATAATCATGGCATAAGCAAATACTTGATTATCCTTAATCATTCCATAAAACATATTTTTGATTACTTTAGGTAATATCATGACTCACGCAAAAGTTATAAAGCATAAAGCCGTCTTCTCACCTTAATGAAGCTTATGAAGTTCTAGCCTTCCCGATTTAGCTCCGTCGAAACTCCGGCGAACTTCAACGAACTCCGGCGACAACTCCGGAGACCCTTTCAACTCCGTTAAAGTTCCTTGAATACCTTAGACAAGTTACTAACAAGGTTTTATCATCATAAAACCCATAGTAATACAAATAATCTCAAAAAGGTTATTTTCCGGCGAACTGGTCACTTTGGCTTCTAAGTCCGTTCTTGGACTTAGAACTACCTTCCAATCCCTCATTCTACACTTCCAAACATGTAGAACAATACTAGGGTGTGAAATATGATTGAGTAATCATATAAGAGGATTGAAGAACAAAAAATGGGATTAATGGAGTCATTACCTTGTTAAACACAAATTTTCCTCTCCAAAGCCAACTTTTCTCTTCTCTTTTCCCCTCCTTTTTCCTCCTTAGCTCAAGTGCGTGAATGGTGGATGTTGTGAAGTGTTTTCAGAGCTTCTATCTCAAAAATGGATGGGTTGGCCGAGCTGGAGGGTTAGGTTGATGATTGAGAATGCATATTTGGCATTTCTCCCAATCATGTTAAGAGAGGGTCCACTCCATTTATTTGCTTGGTCTCCAATCAGTCCATGTTTGTCTCTCCCTCCCTACTATTGAGCGGCTCCCCTTTACCTTTGCAGCACCAAATTCGTGGGGTGGCCCCCACTCATGTGGGAGGTCATCCCTTTATGTCCCCAAGTGTACAATCAGTTCCGATAGTTGTATTTTCTGGGCTGTTTTAATTATATTTTATTTTATCGGGTCAAATAAAATATAACACTTGTTCACAATCCTTATTGGGCCTTAGAAGGGTTATGTACTCCTCAACTTTAATTTAGAAGTCTCTGAAATCCCTTTTCGGACTGTTATCTGATAAATTACCGATACTGATAATTTGGTCCCGTTTGACCAACCGGTCAACCCTATGCCATTGCCATGGCCCAATTAGGATATCCACCACCATATACATATTATCTAGGCCAAGATTAATGTAATATGCAGTCCCGACAGTACCGGGCGGCTCCCACTTCCGGTGTGGGCCTCACGTGAATTTTACTATTCACGTAAAAGAAATGATAAAAATTTACAATCACGTAAAAATTCTTTTATTCATTTCTCAGGGTTCAATACATAATTTGATAAAGTACAAATACTTGGGGGCGATGTTACAGCATTAACATCAACCAACATCAACAACATTATATAAAATAATACATCACTAGTATATATATCTAATAACTCATTATTAACTCGTTGACCTTGAATCTCTCATTTACATGAACCTTTGATAAATTTTTTGTAGACTCACATTCCTTGATTGTTTTACCTTGCAAAAAAAAATAATAAATATAATTAGAAAAGTATAGAAGTTTCACTCTTTTTTCTACAAGCATTAATACAAAACACGATTACACGAGATCTCTTCTTTTCACTAACTGCAAAGGAACCTTTCTACATGAAGACAATCACTAGTTCAATCTCTATCTTAACTTCTGTAAACATTTCCAGTGTATATATATCAGCAGCCTGGCGCTCAAGGTGCTTCAAAGAGCTCATCATCACTGGTTCTGAGAAATTGGACTTAAAATCAGCAATCAACTCATTGTTTCGGTACTCTCTTAGCACTTGTTCAAAATTATGAATAAATTCAACGAGGGAATTTTTTTTCTCACATAAGATCTTATGAGAGAATTTATTGCTTCACACTGAGATGTAGTCCGGATGCATCCAAAGAATGTATCACGTACATACGCAGTAGCTCATAATAACTTGTTCTCATAGGTTTTCAAAACCCATGTGTTACCTTCAACCCCATGCTCAACTATAATTTTATGCCAAAAACCTTCAAACTCTTCAGGGGTGAAATTAGAATACATTGCTATTTTAAAATCCTCCAAAAATGGTGTGTTTTTTACATTCTCACATGCATTTTTATTCAAGTGCCATGCACACAAACGATGAGTAGAATCTGGAAAAACTACTTTAATAGCCTCCCTCATATCAAGATCACCATCAGTACCCACTGATATGGGATGTTTCTTGTGCATTGCTTCCAAAAAAGCTTCTAAGACCCATTTATATGTCTCAAATGTTTCACCTGACACCAAAGCACAACCAAATATAATAGTTTGAGAATGGTGGTTACATCCTGAGAAAATAACCAATGGATAATTATATTTGTTTTTCTTGTACGTGGTGTCAAATGCAAGAACATCACCAAAGCACTGAAAGTCTACTATGCTTTGTCCATCTGCCCAAAATAAATGTTTCAGCTTTCCATCGTTTGTAGTAGAATACTTACAAAACATTATGGGGTCATTGTCAGCTTTGCCTTGAATGTAACTAAGAGCAGCTCGTGCATCCACATCTTGAATCTTAACACGCTTCTGTATGTCAAGATAGTTATATAGATCCTTTTTTGAAAACCCAATCCCATTATACCCTCCTTTTTGAGCCAACATATACCCTATAATGTGACATGTCCGAACACCCTGCATGTGTAAGATATCAATTTGAGCTTTGTCTGCATCATTCATGGCACGATAAGCGGGAAACAGGTGGACATAAGTAGAAGGAGTCAAAAAATGATTATGTTGCTCCACAAAAGAACTCACAATCCATTTTGATTTTTTTCTATCCAAGCGCACACGAAACTTAGCTTTACAATTCGTGCGTGTGATTGGTGCATGTGGTTTTTTCCTATCTACCTTCTCCAAGTACTTTTTTTGCCTCAATCCAGCTCTATTACATACCAGTTGTTGCATTGTAATATTTTTGTTCCTGTCTCGAACAAGATTATGTTTCCTCGCAACAAACCCCTTACATCTTGCATATGTTTGAAAAAATTTGCAAGCTTCATGTCGAGTATCAAATTCCAAATCCCGAATCTCACTAGATGATATGCCATATATTCTTCGAAAATGATGATCAGTAGCTCGTAATTGAATGTTGTCTTCATTCTCACTACCCTGCTGATTTTCATTATTGGTACTAATCTCGGAATCGCTATCTTCGTTGTCAGATATAACTTCTTTCTCGTCATCCAAAATATCATCTTGATCATGGCCCAAATTAGCAAATTCCTCACAAACAAACTTGTCCATCTATAATATAGTTATTTACAATAAACAATAGCAAATAAAATTATAGTTTCACAAATGTAAAAAATTGGGAGAAAGGGGCTACATCAATATACTAATTATAATAATGCTAAGGATGGCTTAAATAATGCTAACAAAATTACAACAAATTGATACACCATTTATTTGCAAAACAGCCCAAACCTTTAAACCTTAAGGCCTTAACGGAATAGAGAAAACATGAAAGCAGTGAGACACCCATCATTGTCTAGTTTTATTTTAAACTCCAACGTCCTAAAGGACTTAAAATTTGCTAATAATAAAAGTAGGAGTAACAAATCAATCTAAAAAGTAGGAGTAACAATTCATGAAGACAATTAATTTAAAAGTTCAGCATTTTACACTTGACTTAATCGCAAGTTGATTTAATCACTTATAAAATTACAAGTTAGGTTCATACTGTGGTCATATGGTATACCAGTTCATGAAAATTTGAGACTAGGTTTTAAAAATCCTAATTTCTAGTAAACCCAAGAAAGAGAGGTAATAGCAATAAGGCAAACACAAAATTAGTAGTGTGAGACAAATATGGAGTACCTCAATATGTGACATCTCCGTCAATTCATCATATGGGAGTCCAATTGTCCAAAGCACAAGTAGAGGAAAGATGGGTAAGCTGACCAAACACTGGAGGAGAGATTTGAGCACGAGAAAACAAATGTTAAGAAGAGGTAGGCTGAAGAAATATAGTACAACCTAAGAGCCCTTATTTGTTAACTTGAGGAGATTTTAATAACATCCATACCTTTATGATTACAAGTGCACATTCACTTCATGTGTTGGGAGTAGGTCAATAACTTCTTACAATCGGTCTTCGGGCTAGAAAATCAATACACTGTAGGAGCTTGCAACAAATAGCTCCTGGACGATATATTGTTATTAATTAATTGGGCAGAAATTAAAAAGATAATAAAATAATGTGTTATCAAAAGCTTGTAAACAAAAAATAATAATAATAATGGTTGGTGCATAAAACTAATACTAAACTGAAATTTATTTGTAAGGGACTACATATAATGTTTGACAGAGATATCTATAATTAATTGGTTTTATAAATTAGCTGAATTTATTCAATCTCCAAAAAATAAATAAAACTGGTGGCAGATAGATCTACGAACGCAAGAGGGGGAAACCGTGCACCTTGTCGTAGCTGAAAAGAACAAAAGGGTGACATTTTTCGCAGAAACTAAGGCAATTAACGTCAAAATATCTGACAACAAAAGAAATGGTTTCAGATTGCACAAAATGCATAACTCAATGCAAAGAGGGTGAAAGGTCAATGTCTTCAATAAAAGCACAAGAGAAACAAGTTTTCTTGAGTTTCGCTTGTTATGCATTCATGTTTTATAAAATATATTACTACATGTGTTTTTTCTTAGTTACCAATCATGATAACAGGTTAATTATTATGATTAGATATGTATATTTCCAAAACTGCCAAGGCTTTAACAGAATGGAGAAAACATGAAGGTAGTAAGAAATCCATCATTGTCTAATTTTACTTTAAATTCCAAATTTCAAAACTTTCCTAAGAATAAAAACAGGAGTAACAAATCAATCTCAAACGTAAAAACTTATGAAAGATCATAAAACGGAAAGTAACAATTCGTGAAGACAATTAATTTAAAAGTTCATCATTCTACACTTTACTAAATCACAAGTTGATTTAGTCACTTATAAAATTGCAATTAGGTTAATACTATGTTCATATGGTATATGAATTCATGAAAGTTTGAGACTGGGGTTTTATGAAACCTAATTTCTAGGTAACAACAATCAGGCATATAGAATTTTAGCAGAGTGTGAGACGAGTATGGAGTACCACAATACGTGACATCTCCGTCAATACATAGTTGGGAGTCTAATTGTCCAAAGCACAAAGTGAGGAAAGATGGCTAAGTTGGGCAGTCACCGTGGGGTAAAGGGTGGAGCGAGGTCGACAGGAGTCGAGGTCCCAAGGAGGCTCGAGTGTAGAAAAACAGAGGATCGAATGAGATGGAAACAACACATGACAGTACAAATATTTTATTTCATCGCTGAAGAAAGGGACCCTGCGGATCGAAAATCTTGTTTGTATATCCTAAGTCTCCTCTAAGAGCACGGTTAAACGAACAAGATTTAAGAGAATCTTTCACACTTTTGATCCTCTCAAAACCACTTTCTAGGGATCCGTGGAAGCTATCTGAAACTGGGTGCAATGCCATTTAGACTTTTCCATTGGGACCTCTGGCTCCAGTGGGAAGTTCTCCTTTGAAACTACTGTCTGAACTCCAATCCTGAAACCTGCAGGTTACACAATCCATTTTAAGTATCAGGTCACAACAATCA